CACACGCACACGCACACGCACACATACACACACGCACACATACGTATGCATACAAGAAACAAGCACAAGGGCTTAGAGATGGTGGCCCTGAAGGGGTAAATGAATGAGACCTGTAAAAAAAAAAAAAATGAATACTTGCTGGCTGAATCTAGCCAGACATTATAATCCATCACTGATCCCCAAAGGACACTAATAATATGTAAATGTGTGAATTAGAAAACACAGTCAAGGCTGTTGATAAACTTGATAGGATAATCAGCACATGCTGACAGACTAATGAAACTGATGAACTGATAGGGCAGCTTATCTCCCAGGCCATTTTTTCCCTTGTCAAACGGAGGCTAATCAAAATGTATTAGGAGTTAAAGCAAACACTCAGGGGATTTAACCCATTTGATTAGGAGGTGAATTCACTCTGAGAAAATTATAGTTTCCTGAACAAGCCAAACTATAAAACCTGACCAGCTGACAGATCTTCACATAAAATCAAACAGAAGGCAGCCACCATAATTACAGATAGAATCCGCTATTGGAAATTATATTAGGGTCCTCCCCTAGAAAATTGTCAGGATGATTTTCAGAATCTGAGCAAAGAGACAACTTCCTTCCATAATGGAAAATAACACAAAGAGCCAGACAATGGCTCCAGGGACATACTTATCTTCTTTAGGCTGTGAGAGCTCAGTGTTCTTGTAACCAAAAGAGAGGCAGATCCCAAGGTACCAGCTCAATTCTCAATCCAATTTATTTACATAAAATAATTGAATGAATTTTCTGAAATCACTAACTGTTGAGAATACTAGCACTTCCCATTAGCAATAAAGAGACCACATGCAGTTTGTCACCAAGGAACGTAAAACCTAAACCCAATTTCAGCAAAGATATCTTATTTGACAATTGATTAAAAACTGGGAGCTAAAGTTATGAATAAAATCAAAGTAAAATCACTCTGCCTCTTCGGATAAAGCTTGAGGAAGCAGACCTTTTAGTATTTATTAAAAATATCCAGCATTAAAATTGAAAAGTCTAATAAAGTCACCCAGTCTAGGCACATGTGGTGTTCCATTTATGAAGACAGATGGTAAAATGCTTGAGAGTAAAAGACACTTCTTTAATCCAATAAAAGCTTGAAGGCAAAAAATATATTTAATGAAGCTAATCTTTACCATGGAGTGATTATATTAAAGAAGATAAAGAAATATCTAGTGTCTTCTTTGATGTGGGCATTCAATCACTCTAATGCTGAGTAGGCCAGCTGGAGAGGCATCTCCCAGAGACATAGAATGGCATTATTAATCTCTTCTGAGTGAGATATTCTTTTCAGTTAATTGAAAACTATACTGTGCCTCATCCCATCTATGAACTCTGTCTACACTTCCTGTCATTTAAGAAAAGAAAAGAATTTGAGGTTTTTGGTTTTTTTTTTTTTTTCATTTTGCACATGTTCAAGGCATGGAGCATTTGGGACTTTGTTTGAATGCACAACCAAGCAGCCAGTATCAACTTTCTCAAATCACACGATTTATTATGAATACAAGCCTATAGGTCACACAGCCGAATCCTATTTATTTCATATATACGAGGGAGGTCTAGAAATATCAAAGGACTTTATATGAATGGTGGTTTAATGATTGGTGAGTATGAGTTTGCAATTTCGGCTTTGCAGGGAAAGGAATACTTAATTGGAGGACAGAAGCAATCCTTCTCATCTCCAGTTCCTGGAAAGAGTCATGCTAACCCATTAACAGGGCATTGAGACTACATGGACATTTTTCCAAGACTCTCTTGCTGAACAGGTAGTTTTTAGTTAGGTCTACCATCAAATAGCTGTGGAAACAATTTCCTGAGCAGTTAATGGATTAATCAAGGGGGATAAGTGCTTGATTAGTATGTCTAGTTCTTCACTTCTTGAACCCACCAGGAAAAAAAATCTACATCCTAGATTTATATACATTCTGATTGGCAAAGAGAATTAAGTGGATTAGTCAACACAGGAAGATAAACAATTGAAGTAGCATATTTACCATGTTCACAATCTCATTCCAGCCTCAAATACTATTCTGAAAAAAACTACAGGGACCCAAGACCTCATCCATAAAAGCAACACAAGCTGACTCAGATATTCTCATCTTTTACATGCATCAAAGCTCATGTGTCTCCACATCACTACAGGCTGAATATCAAGAATCTTCTGATAAAGTGAATGATATGCTAAAATTATTATACAACTGATAAATGACACAAAAACATGTTCTATGCATACCTAAATATAACCAATACTTACAGATATTACAAGATGTTACAAAATATTGCTTTCTCATTCCATAGACTTTCAATAATTGCTTGCTACCCAAAAGGCATTGAGAGTCCTTTGAAAAAAATATGGAATTTGGCAAATGTGTTGGACACACTGTATCAGATTGTCTCTTTGCTCATGTCTGAATGAAAGCTTTGCCGCAATCTGGATGACACACAGTGTGAGCCTTGCTCGGTGATTACTAATAAGATAGTAGAAGTCCTCTGCACGTAAACATGGGTTCTTCCTTCTCCACCAGCCCCTGACAATCAATTAAAACAGTAGAGTTGTACTTACCCATCATGTTATATAAGCTCTGGGGGGCAAACTGCCTTGGCATTTTCTGAATTGCTTCCTTATATACACTCAGGGCTTCCTAATTTAAGGAACAAAAAGATAAATCATCATTAGGGGACAGGGATCGTCACTGCAAGTAAGATGATAATGCTTCTCCAAAGTGAAAACTACCCACTTTGGTTTCGGGATGGTTCACTAGAGGAAAATAATTGAACTGTCCTTTGATATCGCACTGCCTTAATTTCACGAGTGAAAACAGCCCAGTGAGGAATGCCACATAAAAATTTAGCTTAACAAGGAACTGAATGTTGGCAATGCTCTTTTAATATAAAACTTCCAGTTTGCACAAATTACTCTATAAGAAGAGTTAAAAAGCATTCATACTTGGAAGTTACTCATTAGTCCCCATCCCAAGTCTAGGCTTTAACTCAAGCAACCTGTGAGGTAGATGCAAAGTGCCAGCAAGCGCATAAATCTTCCTACTGACAATATTCACTGAAACTGTTAAAGGGAATTGTTCTAGAAGATGCATCTTCTTCACTATATTGCAGTCTTTTTTTTTTTTCTTTTTTGCTGGTGTTTTGAGACAGGGACAGGGTTTCTCTGTGTAACCGCTGTGGAGCTTGCTTTGTAGACCAGGCTGGCCTTAAACTCAGAGATCCATTTGCCTCTGCCTCCAGAGAGCAGGGATGAAGGGCAGGTGCCACCACCACCTGCCTTATACTGCAGTCTTAAGATGTATAAAAGTATGCAGGTGGGATATGGAGATGTCATGAGAGAGGCAAGCTTAAGGGAGGAGGGAGATCAAGGATGCCATGCAGACATGGTTTCTGTGAGTAAAGAGTGTGAGGGTGGGTCACATAATTTACTAAACAATATTTTGCTTACTACTTCCTCCACCATCAAAAATACGTTATTTTTATTCAACAGTTTTTAAAATAATTAGGAAAATAGGTAGCATTTAGAGCAAGTTATATCCTTAATATTCAGATTACAAAAACTATCCTTTAAAAAAAAATCAAGCATGGAGTAAAAGGGCAATGATTCTAGAAACCGCATTTTTGGATCAAAGAAATGGTGGGCTATGTGTGTGTGAATAGTCACTACATCTATCAACATACAATGAAATATGAATATGTTAGGTTTTCAAAAGACTGTAGCAGCCCCAGGAAGGAGGTTGCAGGTAAAATAACACCAAGGGTACCTTAGAACAGGAGGGTATCGCTTCTTGGCCTTTTGGCTAAGATCAAGTGTAGAACAGGAGGGTAGGGAGGTAGAGACTGACCTCATAGTGTCCTTGCTCGTGATAGAGCTTCCCCAGGTTGTACAGACAGCTAGTAACAGAGCTCTTATGAGCATGAGGGTCCTTCAGGTTTTCATCTGGAATCTCGGAACACTTCATGAATGTTCGTCGGGCTTCTTCTGTCTTCCCCTGATTCATTAGAATAATGCCCGTGTTTAAATATGCAGCTGAGAGGGGAAAACAGAAACAGAAAGTGGAGGTGATATGCACTGTGGATAAAAAGGTATATTAGCTTCGTCTCTGTTCCAAGGGATATTTATTGTTTATTAAAAAAATTAAAATTAGTAAATATGTATGGAAAAAAACACAGGGTCAATAATGATAGCAATAACCCCAAGTGTTCCTAAAAACATAATTGTCTTCTCATTCAACTGAATTCCAGATTTTTTTTAAGCTCAGAAATCTAGTTAAATAAAAGACTGAGCTATCAGAATACTTGGTAAAAACTGGAAATGGCATTAAGAATGAAATTCAGAGAGACAGAGAATTGTAATATTAACAAATATTTACAATCAGGAATACCACACATAGCCACTTTCTCTGAAAGGCTTTAATATACAGAAATAATCATTTCAAATGAAAGGAAATATTTGAAAGATTCCAAAACTTCAATACTACTTACAAGCCAGGGTAGGCCTGCTCCCGATGGCCAGTTTATAATAATGCAATGCTTCTGTAAATCTGCTGTTCTCCTGGAGCAGCAACCCTCTGCATGAGGAGAACAGAGATACTGAAAGAGACTGTACTACTAAACAGAAAAACCACACATTTTCATTTAATATTCCAAAGGTAAAAATAGTCAACAGCCCCATAAAAACGCTGACCTTGCACCATAAAACTAAATTCTAAATGGAAGGAAATGATCTCTCAGGAGGGAAAAATCCTATACAGGTATCCATGTGCCCTTGTTCCATGAGACAGTATTAAGAAGGATTTTCAGACGGACTTCTGTAACCAATAAACTTTCCCTCGCCAGACTTCATCCCCTCCCACCTGAATGTTAGCCACCTGGATTTCTGTTGGGAGCACACACATTTTCTCATCACTGTCCCAAGGAAACCTACTGAAGGCAGGGATATACACACAGAAACAGGAGATGCCTCCCTCACTAGCTATTGCTTGGGCAATATTTGTTCATAACTCTCCCAAAGGCAAAAAGGCTAAAAGCAGTCTGATTCGATGGCAAAAGCCGAATCAGATGCAGTAGAGAAACTAAAGGAAGAACTGAAGGCCATTTATTTCTATGCTGCTTGGTTGTGGTCAAATAAACATGAATTTCAGAATACTTTGCAAATTTCAGTCTACCAAGCAGAAACACATCTTCTTCTCCAGACCCCTCAGACTTTAGGGACCTCTCTATGAGGCTCCTTAAATAGTACCCACATGTATTAACCAAGCCATTCCAAACCCCACCCTTATGACATCAATGAAAATCAAGTATAACCATTTCTATGAAAATAAGATGTCAGGAAACTGAACTAATTAGAAAGCCTCCCACAGGGTTTTGGTTTAGGCCCATGCTCTTGTACACAGCAAGTATCTTACAGACATAAGGTACATCTATTGGGCCAAGGGCTGCTGTTATGATGCCAATTGCAGATTCAACTTGGCAGCTTCCTTGGCTTTTGAAAGAGGAGTAAAATGGAGGCCTGAGAAAAGCAAAAGCTATTGTCAAAACATGCTTTTGTCAAGTATTGCTATGGCTAGGAATGCCTGAGTGTCTGCCAAGGGCTCATGTTTCTTGGGACGCTCAGTGGAGCACAGCTGGCAGGTGATGAGACCTTTAGAGGATGGGGCCTGGTGGGAGGAGCTTAATTGCCTTCCACGACCTTAAAGTTGCTAATGCCGATGTCCTAGATTGCATTGTGAAGAGATTAGTTATTCAAAACTCAACAAATGAACAAACAACAAGGCTGCCCTCCCCGTGTTATGTTGTATGTTATGTTGTGTGTTATGTTAGGTTATGCTATGTTATGTTATGGCTCCATGTTTCACCATGTGGACTACCCACTTATGTGAACTACCCACTCAATTTCCATCGTCATGGAAATTGCCAACTTCATTTTCCTTCCTGAATTCCATCTTGCCTTAAATTTGGCAGCCTATTTCTCCTAGCCTTCTTCCATTCATGAGATCATCCTGAGCAAAATGAAAACCCTGGCTACTTCTTCATTCATATACTGCTTTACTGGAAGTTGGTGTTCCACAGTAGTTTCCATCTCTGCTCTTCATAAACGGTCTGCACGTCATCATGCATCCATATAGTGTGTATAGAAGGATACTGCCTTCACCACTGAAGCAATGATTACTCTCCTGACACCAGATGTTTCTATCAGCTGAGTGAGCTATCTAAGACCTAATTGGAATACCCAAAGACAAAGCATCTAAAAGGTAAATGGAATAGTAGCTCTTGCTCAAAATTAAAACAGAAGGCAGAGAGATGAAAAAATTAAACAAACAAAAAAACACAACCTCTCCTTAGATTGATAGCATCTTCAGGATCAGATGCTAAAACCAGAAAGCTGATTGTCATGGCTAATCCCCCATTGTTTTTCACAGATACATGCTTTGTAAAGTCTCCAGAGTCACTGACTCATAGGCTATGGCTCTTGCTTGTCCCTGAGGTTCATCTTTATAACTCTGTTAGAACCCTTTTTATCTTTCCTACCACCCGAGTAACTGAAAAAGCCCACTAATTAGTCTCTACATAATTACATTTCCAAAGGGCAAATATGCTATTAGGATAGATGGAGTGAACGTGTTGGGGATGTGCATGGATCTGACTCTGTCTAAAGCCGATATGCCTGGAGACCGATGTACTTGGCCTCTTGGGATCACTATGCTGATTCATTATAGTCTGTCACCTTCCAATTCATAAAATACACACAGAGCAGAGAATAGCACGCTGTGTGATAATAAAACCCTCACAATCCTGCCCTGTCTCATAAACGAAATAATGAGTGAGTTCAAGTCAGATAGCTACTGTGACTGATTTGCAAGGGATAAGGATTTCACTGATCACTTTACCTTTGCTATGTATGCTGCAAAAAGTAAACAAGCTTCAGATGCAAACAATGCTCCAGGATAATGAGGAGGAAAACAAATGACATGGAAATTACTACAATTGAAGGCAACAGTGTGATAACATGTCCCAATCTAAGAATGGGGAATGGGCACTTACACAGCCAAGTGACATCATTAAAGGCTAGTGAGCACACAAACACACAAACAGATTAAAAAAAAAATTGTCAACAGCCTGATGTGACAGAGGAAGAAGAAACTGGAGTCTGAGGATTAACAAACTAACTGGGGGTCTGAGTTAAAAACAGCAAAGCTAGAAGTGGGTACAGTTTTTCTGATAATGAATCCCATGCTCAGAGCTGGGTAGAGTGGGACACACATTTAATCCTGGCACTTTAGAGAGAGAGGTAGGAGGATCAAGAGATTAAAGTCATCCTGGACGATGTATGGAATTCGAGGAGGGCCTGTGGTATATGAAACAAAACATCACATACAAACCCTGCAGGCTGCCAAGGGAGAAATGCATTTAATAGTCTTACCAAGCTATAAAGCCTTTGAACCACAACAATGGTCACCCCAAGATATCCTAAAGAGTGCAACATGGCACTTACATCTTAGGGATTAACAAAAGTCATTTAATTGGGCTTAAGGCCTGCTTAAAAGGAAAGAATTCATGTCTACTACTATAAAACTAGTCCAGTTCTTTTGGGTGGTGAGACCATGGAACCTAAAGGAGACCAGGGACCATCATTGTCCTGAACTAGTATAATCCTGATTGTATTCCAAATACTTATCCTTACAACCTGCACCTTAATGTAGCTTTCATCCTTTGTCAAAGAAGTTTTTTTTTTTGCAGCAGAGAGAGATCATTGCATAAATCTAAATGTGGTCACAATGCAGAAGATAATGGGCCACGGGGCTTCCCAAGCCCTAATGAAATGTCTACAACACATGGAGAAATGTAGAGGGAGGAGGAGAGGAATGGTTGAAATAACCAGAGGCTGCAGGGGGTGGGGGGTTATGTCTCCTACCAGACAGTGTCTTCCAGATACTAGAAGGAAGCTGCACCTATGAGATCTCAACAGGACTAGCTCCTAAAGAAGACCAGCACAATGCCAGAACCAACTGACATGCCAGTGTGGATAAGGGAAATGGCCCAAGACCTCACCACTAGACCAACAGCTCTAGACAATTAACTTTGGCTAAAAGGGAAATCCAGTCTTCTCCGTCACCCTCAAGTGGTCATTCTTAAACACATATACATTGTAGCAACACCAATGGACTCAGCAGGTTGTACTGATACATACACAAAAGTAATTAATGAGGTCATGAATTGGAGAGGGAGTGCTCTTGATAGAAGAAAAATTAAAAAAAAAAGATATTCAGTTACAGATACACATAGACTATCTACTGCTTTGCACTAAAACTCAAAGTTTGTGTAGCTCTAGCTTGTCTTGATACAGTGAAAAGGAATCTCTCATCTTGAAATTCCATACTGATTTTAGATACATCCTAAAAAATGGTTAATATCAGGCCACATTTACAAATCTTATAGTTTGCTTTGCTAAAACATGTAGCAGAGACAGAGATTGCTCATGGTACATTTGTTACAATGATAAAAGTAGCTGCATTCAGTCAGGATTTCCAGCATGCCAAGCAGTCTACATATTTGTGCATATGTGTTAAGTCACAACAATCTTACAAGGCAGGTTATTACACCTGGCTCTGTTTTAAACATGATGAACCTTAGGCAAGTAGATCCATCCATCCATCCATCCATCCATCCATCCATCCATCCATCCATCCATCTATCCATCCATCCATCCCATCCATCCATCCTTCTACCATCTATCCTATCCACCATCTATCTATAAGCTCTATCTTTCTATCATCTATCTATCTATCTATCTATCTATCTATCTATCTATCTATCTATCTATCTATCTATCTATCTATCATCTATTTATCAACTATATCTATCAAATCATCTGTCTGTCTGTCTGTCAATCTAACCACCCATCCAACTAGCTTTCTAAGATGGAGTCTCAGTATGTAGCTCTGGCTGGCCTAGAACTCACTATGTAGACCAGACTGTCCTTGAACTCTCAGATATCTGCCTGACTCTGCTTCCTAAATGCTGGTATTAAAGGTATGAACCACCACACTCAGCTAGATACGAAGACATTAATTGTAACATACAAAGGACTGTGCATATAGTGGTAAGTACATGAAAATGAAAGTCTGACATTGTGAATATAATTTAAGACTTGAATTATACTTGATTATTCATACCAAAAGCTTTTCCATGGCTGTTCAAATCAGTGACATAGCATGTTTACATACTGGCCAGGAGAATAAACTCTTCTAGCTTCTAAATATATTAAAAAGAAGAACACATTTGAATATACCACCATACCAGAATATAGTCAGAAAGAGTTTTATACACACTGTGCAAAGTTGTCCTGAAAGCAGGGGAGGGAACTTTTGGTACATAATAACACAAGCTTATTAATGGGCACCCTGGCAGTAGGATCAGGATCCATCCCTGGTACATGAGCTGGCTTTTTGGAGTCCACCACCAACGCTGGGACACCTTACACAGCCTTGATGTGTGTGTGTGGAGGGGGCGTTTGGACCTGACTCTACTGAATGTACCAGGCTCTGTTGACTCCCCATGGTAGGCCAGC